TCACGCAGGAACTCCACAATGAACTCATTGAAGATGGATACGATGTGAAAGGCAACTGTGTTGGTAGCACACTGAGCTTCCCCTCTCACCCACTGTGCCTATCCTGCTACTACGGACTGTACCTTAACGTCAAGTTGATGTACGGGACTTAGTTTCTTTACATAGGATACGGGGGATACTGCCGGGGGGTCCGCCGGGGGTATCTCTGCTCCCCCGCACTGCAGGGGCCGCATGGCGGAGGGGCACGTAGCGCGGCCACTGGACTCGGAGAAGAAGAGGGGGCGCACGGCCTCGGAGGGCCCGGCCGAAGCCCCAGGCGAAGGGGAGGCTGGGTCGGGCAGCGGCCGAAGGCCACCGCACAGCGAGAAGGACGGTAAATGGTGTGTCTGCGCTGCTTTCGTTGATGATATAATTATCACTGGAACTGACAAGGAAGCAATCGAGCTAGTACGTACGACCTTTGATACCAAGTTCAAGGGCGATGGACAGTGGGATGAAGTTATCAACAGTTTCCTAGGCATGCATATTGAATACAATGGGAATGAGCTTCTGTTCACCATTTCACTAAGGCACTTAAACCTCCCTTATTCCACCGTTTAGGTTCTGCCATATCTTTGGAGATGAATTTGATACCAACCCCAACTCGCAGTCGTCTATTATCGTCCTCGACACATTTCATGCCCAAATTTATTCTTAAACAACCATGAAATGGGTGTTCGCCATCACCAATCAATTCTGCAACATGTGGCTACAGTGGTTAGACCCACACAGTCGGCTCACTCGATCATCTACATTCCAGTATGTATCTCTCTCTACTTGATGCTGTTGGAAGACAATCTTTGGGCAATTGGCCCCACCCCCTTATATACTCGCCTCATTATCCGATACAATGTGCGGCTCCAGAGGGCCATCTACTTGCCCGTGCCCTCAGACATCTTCGAAGTGAGATTCTTCCTATTCAATCCGCTAACTTGGACGGGCACGGTGCCGTTTGAATATTCGTGTCTGCCGGACAGTTCTTTTGGCAAATATGGTGAAGTTGAATACCATGAAGTCATGGCAAGTGCCATATAAAACTGCTTCGGGGGAGCTTCCGCAAGATTCAAGTAACATGTTGTGGGACCATTTCATTAAGCAACATAATTCAAAAGAACCTGCTCTGAAGTGCTAGCACTGCAAATCGGAGGCGGCTTCACCGCCCAGACAAAGGGCTTGGGTAGATCTACATGCTGTACATTCATGCGGCATAAAAATATGCAGTCATCTTATTGCTGGCCGATGGTGTTCAGTAAATCGGAGATGTTCGTTGCCCAATTTTGTGGGTTAAAACCACCTCCAAAACTATAGCGAGTGCGTCTGTGTCATACACCCATAATCCTTTGTAGCCATGCACCTTGTAATCATCACAAATATGCTACAGTAGACATGCGATTCATATTCGCTTCAAAACTTGCCCATAATTTTAAGACTTCGATCCGCAGGTCCAGTCGTGGGTGCGTCTGTAGGTAGTAAGCTTCAGGTAGAAACCAACATAGCTCGGAGAGATCTGCATCATCCCCGAGACCACTTATGAGCTGGACAGCAGGCTATTCCATGATATAAATACCTCGATAGTAGTTCGGGAGTTTTTCTACAAGCACCTCGAGTGCTTACAAAACCATAATCTACTTTGAGTGCAATTCTGGGGTGTTTCTCATTGGCATGTAGAACGCGATGGCAAACTACTCTCTTGGTGTGAAATTTGTAGCTTCTTCGAGCTTTTGCACACATGTTTAAAATCATATTGGAAGGGAATCGATGTGCTGTGTCCACTCTAGAAGCCTTCGATTTAGAAGACCAAAGGTGAGGTTGGATGTGACCGGAAGAGTCGAGGATAGTGAGTCACTCCAGAGACGCAAAAAAGATGCTATACTTGGCGCATAAAATGCAAGATGATTTAAATCCAACTTTATGCACCAGTCTGAACTAGATGCGGGGCACAAGGAGGCGCCAAATACAGGCGAAGACATAATCATTTGATAAAGGAGGTTAAGGTAGTCTAACCATGCTATGATACGAATCGCCAATTGAAACAAAATCCCTGAGCGTCGACGACCTAATCACAATGACTCTCAAGACCAGTCCTGTGATCAAATGAGGTCCGTGTGTGTGATACGCAGAGGGATGTTGCTCTGACGCGATACTCAAAGAAATAAACATCGAGACTCGAGATGCATCTTAGCGGCAAGCAA